CTGCTCACGGAAAGGTCTCCTCTTTCGATTGGGACCTTTCCCGATCATGTGACCGCTGTGATGGCGAATCACGGAGGTCACATGACCCTAAAACCTCGCCCCGGCTTCTGAAACCCTTAAAGGGCCGGGAGGCGCCGGCGCGAGAGGTGCCAGCGCTAAGGGGTTAATAAATTGAGCCTATTGACTATATTAGTGAATCAATCTTAGCACATGATATGACTCCACTCTTACTTGGTACCCTAGTCTGAATTCTCCTTTAAATTGTATAATTGCATTTTGCTGGGATGGGTGTTGCCTCCTTGATGTAAGCTGGAGATGACACTCATTGTTTGGCCAGCTCTGTCCAAGCGGTGTCCATAGTGAAACTTTGGCTGAGTAGTCAGCCAGGCAAGAGGTGGCATTGGTGTCTTACCAGCCGTGGTGCAAGAAGCTGAAATCACATCGTAAAGCGGCTCTTGAGCAAATGTCATTGCCATAGGCTTCTTCCCAACACGTATCCCACACTGCCATCGAGTCCGCTGCTTCGTCTCCGTTTATCAGCAAGGGAATCCGCTCTGGCAATAAACAAGTCTGCTCGTACAGAGAACTGGCTCACACTTGCCTCTGCCTACTGGGAGTGGGCTCAGCAGGCCTGGTCTGACTCACCGATCCTGAGTGGGCAAATCTGGCACAGCTCCACTCGGCTCTGCGCGTCCAACTCATCGCCACTTGGGCAGGATCTGCAGCCAGGCACGGATCGCTGTACATAAATGACATCATCCTCGTAAACCGTTTAGGGGGAAGAAGGATTGAATGACATTTGTGGACGGATAAATGCACGTTTCAGGAGATTACCAGGACAGAAGCTGTTATTGGGAGTGATAATTTCCAGCAAACTGCTGACTTCCTGTTCTGTAACTCTGTGCGGCCATCATTATGCTGCCTCGTTTTTTCCTATCATAGGTCAGTAGGCAGCACAGCGAAGCTACATAAAGATCTCAAATGGCGCTATGTTTACGTATTTATGGCTCGTGCACACAGGCGTACATGGCAGTGAAATGTTAGATATGGCTGTATTTCTGCGCATGGGAGTCACAGGAGCTGCGTGCAACCGCCGTTACAAATGAATTACATGATACAGCGAATGTACATGGGTACATGCCGATCCTATCATACACATGTGTAAGCACACAGACAAACACCCCCGGGTGCAGACCCTCAGCACACAGGGGAGTACGTCTGTAAATTTACACATGCCCCTCCCTCTTAGATTGTAAGCTCCCAGGATCAGGCCCTCCTAACCCTCTTGTATTGAACTGTATTATTGCTGTATTGTCTCCCGTTATATTGTAAAGCGCTGAGCAAACTGTTGGCGCTATATAAATCCTGTATAATAGGGCAGCACAGTGGCTAAATGGTTAGCACTTCCAACTGGCAGTACTCGGGTCGTAGGTTCGAATCCTGACCACCGCCTGGAGTTTGCATGTTCTCCATGTGCCTGCGTGGGTTTCCTGTGGGTTCTCCGGTTTCCTCTCACACACTCCAAAGACATGCTGGTAGGTGAATTGGCTCCTGTCTAAATTGTCCCTAGTATGTGTATGTATGAATGTGAGTTAGGGACCTTAGATTGTACACCCCTTGAGGGTTAGGGACTGATGTGAATGTACAATATATATGTAAAGCACTGCACAAATTGACGGCGCTATATAAGTACCTGAAATAATAATAATAATGTTTATGCTAGAACCCGCATACAGCCGTATCCTGTCATTCATCTGTACAGTACGCGAACTCTGTGGCTGCAGGGTGCTAAAATGTGGCTGTATTTTGTGCTGTATGACCATATCCGGCCGTCTGCATGAGCCCCAATGTGTAAGTCCACCTTTAAGAAAAAAAACTGCCTATGCAGGTAAAGGGCACCTGTAGAAAAAACAAGCTTGGACTAAAGATGGATAACGTGGCTTAGGCCATTGACATACCTCCTGAAGCCTGGGTGAAAACCTCCTTGATAGCATCATCCTGTCCTGGCTTGTTGCTGGGACATTGGTAAGACACTCCGAGCCAGGGGCGGACTGACAACTCATGGGGCCCCCGGGCAATAGGGGATCATGGGGCCCCTGTGTCCTTGCCCAAACTCAAAAAAGCCTATGAAAAAGGTACCAGGGGCATCTCATGGGGCCCCCTACTGACCCCGGGCCCTCGGGCAGTGCCCGAGTTTCCAAATGGTCAGTCCACCCCTGCTCCAATCCAATTTGATCCGCTAAAGAAAATGGAAGGGGATCCGTTCCACTCCGTCTAGCCGGATTGGATTAGAGGGTACTTCGGTGTAAACGGACATCTGGACCACCCATAGAGCAGAGCGGGCTGTGTCTGTGTCCACTCTGCGTAAACGGTGGACACAGAGCAGTCATTTGCCCGCTCAGCTCAGCAAGGGTTTAACAGACAGATCCCCTGCTGAGCAAAGCAGATTCTGGGCCCGTGTGAAAGGGGCCAAACAGAAAATCAAGCAGACACACTTAAAAATAAACAGTTTGAACAAAATTCTACTAGTATATGGCCAGTTTATGGAACAATTAAAACCCCGGCAGGGTTGTTTTCAGCCATCTTTGGAAATTGGAAGATTTCTCCTCACTTCCTGTTCTGATGACAACTCAACACTTTGGATTTTCCCACCATTTTACTCCCATTGACAATAGTTCACCAGGACAAATAGAGCGATCCTTCCTAATGGAGACATCAACGACAAAACCCTGACAGAGGTTCTAACCCCTCGCCATGCTGGGCTTTTAGATACGCATAACACAGAAAAGGTGCAACTGGAGTTTTTTTTTTTTAGACTTTCTGCAGCAAATTTCTGCTGGAATTAAAGCCGATACGAATGATGTAACAGACCAGGGCTGCTATAGGAGCACGAGTCTGCGAAAGAAGCCAGAGGAAATTGATGTTTGTTTGGGAAAAAAGTGAAACTTTATCCGGCGTTTGCTGCTCACAGATGGAGAAAATGTTCTGCACCAGATGGAGCGTGTAACGCACCATGCTGCTCGTACCACCAGGTGGAGCTTGTTTTAATAGCACATCAGGCTCTAGCAAAAGAGCTGGGGGGGCTGCAGAAAAGACCCCTAACAATGGGGCCTGCGTCACCTGCTCTGCCAACGGGCCCGGCACACTTGGCTATGGCTAGGAGAAGTGCTTTTATGGAGAAAGAGGTAAAGGACTTCTTGGAAAAACTGTAGTCAGGTTAGGCTGTTTATACTTTCAATTAAAAATAGTTTTTTTACTTCTTTAACCACTTGAATTCTGGAAGGTTTTACCCCCTTCGTGACCAGGGCATTTTATTTTGTTTTTGTTTTTGCGCCACTGCGCTACTTTAACTGGCAATTGTTCGATCATGTAACACTGTACCAGGGGCGGACTGACAACTCATGGGGCCCCCGGGCAATAGGGATCATGGGGCCCCTGTGTCCTTGCCCAAACTCAAAAAAGCCTATGAAAAAGGTACCAGGGGCATCTCATGGGGCCCCCTACTGACCCCGGGCCCTCGGGCAGTGCCGAGTTTCCAAATGGTCAGTCCGCCCCTGCACTGTACACAACTGAAATTTATATCATTTTTTTTTTTTTCAAACAAATACAGAGCTTTTTTTTTTGGTGGTATTTGATCACCACTGGGGTTTTTTTTTTTTTTTTTAATTTAGAAACAAAATGTCCAACAATTTTATAACAAAAAACTATATTTTCTACTTTTGCTTATAAAACATACCAGTGAAACCAAAATTCTTCATAATTTAGGCCAAAATGTATTTTGTTGTTTTTGGTGCAAAAAACAAATCCCAATAAGTGTATATTAACCCCTTGTCCCCCTGAGGATTCCCCCCCCCCCCCCCCCCTGACCAGGCCCATTTTTTGTGTTGTGGCACGGCGTTATTTTAACTGACAATTGCGCGGTCATGCAACGCTGCATCCAAATGAAATTTACATCCTTTTTTTTTTTTTCACGACTTGAGCTTTCGTTCAGTGGTATTTGATCACCTGTGCATTTTTTTTTTTTTTTTTTGCGCTATAAAAAAAAAAAAGACGGACAATTTTGAGAAAAAAAAAAAAAACAATATTTTTGACTTTTTGCTATTAAACATGTCCAGTAAAAAAAAAAGTCCTGGATTCTTTCTTGGATACACAGAATATAACTGGATACTAACATTTATAGGTAAAGTTGATCCAGGGATTATCCGATTGCCTCTCCTCGGGGGATCAGGAAGGAATTTTTTCCCCAGCAGGAGCAAATTGGATCGTGCTTTGCTGGGTTTTTTCGCCTTCCTCTGGATCAACTGTGGATATAGGATTATAACTTTTTTTTTTTTATTATTATGGTTGAACTGGATGGACTTTTGTCTTTTTTCAGCCAGACTAACTATGTGTGCACGAGAGGCTGCATTGTATGGTTACATCCCCAAGCCTTTCTGTGACGCCCACCCGCAGTCTATGTAGCGGTTAATTGAGCTCCAGGATGACAAATATTGTCTAAATATAAGAGTCACTTGTTTTATTACTTCATTCTTGATGTGTTTTGTGCATTTCTCCCAGATCTGTGCAATATTGCAGTGTAGGACTTTTCCTCTGTACAGGAGCTTCCTGTAATAAAGACCTCTCACTGCTGCTCTCTTTTTGTGCAGGGTGACTGGTCTTGTCTCCTCCTCCTCCTGCAGGCAGCCTGTAGTGGGTGGGGCCTGCCAAAGGTTTCTGTGCCAGGAGTTCAGCTGCTTTGTTGGCTGGATAACATTGTTGTTATTATACAGGATTCATATAGCACCAGCAGTTTGCACAGCGCTTTACAGTATAAAGGGAGACAGTACAGTAACAATACCATTCACCAAAAGAGGGCTAGTAGGGCCCTGACAGCTTACAATCTAATAGGGAGGGGCAAGTGGAACAAATGGTAATAACTTATCTTCTTTTTTTTTTTTTTTTTTTTTAACCTGGTGTTGTATATTAACCATATTGTATCTCTTTCCTGACCGGCATGTTAGACCTATGAACAGAACGAGTGGCTAATACACTTGGCTGGGAAGCTGCTTGCCAATGATGAAACCGCAACTTCACTTCTGGCCGTCAACCCCTTCCAGGACAAGGCTCCGCCTAGGTAAGCGTACACAGACCCACGCTATGATCAAATCTCCCTTCATCCATTCAATCAGTCATTCCAATTAAACAGAAACTCGTCTACATTTAGCCTTGGTTCGCACTATGAATGGCATATGAACCACACAGGAACCACACTGCAGTCCTGTACAATTCACATGTAATTAAATGCAGTGTGATTCATTTTGAATGGCTCAAATCGCACCACACCAAAGTTGTGCATGCACTAATTATGGGACTGCACTGCAACCAGTACAGGCAAATACACTGTGTGACGGGAGTCACTTTGGATGGGGGGCCCATGGAACCCAGCTCACTTTGGAGAGGTGGGAAACCCCTGTCTCAGCTCCCCATATCCCTCTTATGTGTAAATCACCCTGTGCATGTTAGGGGTACAGGGTAATCTGTCCTAATATTGTGTGGGCTTTGTCTCAGACTGTGCAGACATGTTTAGGAGATAGGTGGGGTGGGGGGGGGGGCTTGTTGTGGATTGTTTAATGTTATGTGTATTTAGCTCAGTGGGGGGGAAGTGTCTCCAGCAGCCCTCCCTCCTGATGGGACTGTCTGCTGGTGTGAAATTTGAATACCTGTGTGTCTCTTGTTACTAAATGTAGATTGCCCCACCCTGTGTCATTATGCAGGGAGGGGGGATTGTCCCCTGAGTGTATATATCTTGTATCTGTGTTCCAATAAACTAGTCTACCTCCTGGTGTACTTCAAGACTAGTGTCATCTAGTCTTGTATGGTCGGCTGTGGTGTCTGTTGTCGGTGTTCAGATGGGGAAGCAGTATTCTAACGGAAGTACTCAAGTGCAGTCTGGAGTCGGTTTCGTTACACATTGCGTTTGTGGTGTCGTTAAGATTGCACTGGCACCCGCTGCAGGGTAGTGAAATTTGAATGCGGTGCAGGAAACGCGCACAGAACACTGCATTCTAGTGTGAAGCTAGGCTTACAGCCACCTTCTCATTATCTAAAGTACTGCTACTGTTATATTCTAAGTGACATGAACATCCTTTTGAGCTAGCTCCAGCCCTCGCCTTTACACATCGGAGCATGAGATGCTGCTAGCAAAGCACAGAGCCATGAGACAGGAGGCTGAAGGCCTGCCCAGAAGTATTGAGAAAAGCCTACTGGATCTTGCTGCTGTGTGTTACACAAAACTCAGAGAGCTGAGTGGATTTTCTGACATTAGCACAATTGTGGCGTCTTCTGGAAAGAATTATCATTTCATTGATTTGGTTTTGTTTGTTGAGCCCCTTTTTTTGGCAACCTTAACTATTTTTGCTTAATCCCTATGGGCGCCATTACAATAAAATTCAGGAAATGAAAAACAGTTGTGTTGCTTATAGCCTTCAGATGAATTCATTTTCTATCGTATCCTAGCAAAACGATTGCAGCGTTCTGATTGGTTGTTGTGGTCAACACAAACGGTATTCTTGTCAGTCTCTGTGGCAGCTCTGCAGCGTGTCTATGCCCAGGCACTGCAGGGGTTAAGTACTTATACTGTATGGCTGGAGCTACTGCAACATAAAACTAATTACCAGAGGGCTCACAACTATGAAAGCTCTCTCCACTTTATTGCTCATTTGGCTTTATTGCCTAATACTGTGGCCTGCTCAACAAGTCAGATAATCATAGCCTGGAACAGGGCCAGGTCTTAGCATGGATTCCATTACACCTCTCCCGCCCTCCCCTAGTAGATCCAGGGAGGACACTGGGGTCCCACTTCTATAGTCTGCCACAGGACCCGCTGATTCAGGGTGTTGGCGGCTTTGGGAAACACTGATTTCTAGTATCATCTCTCTAGCATCTCTTTCTGCATCATTTATCAATCTCTGTCATCTGTCTCTATTATCTCTGTCTTTCTGTCTATTCATCATCTCTATCTCTCGCTTTATCATTTATCTCTTCGTCTATTTTCTCTGTATCTATGCGTTTGTGGTGTCTTTAAGATTTTCTCTCTATCATCTGTCATCACTCTCTTCCAGTTTTATCTCTCGTTATCTCTGTTTCCATCATCATCTCTCTCATCCTCTATTCTCTATCATCTCTTTTTCTACCTTTTTCCTCCCCATTCCTCTATCATTTCTCTCTCTCTTTTCATCATCTCTTTCTAGCTTTCTCTATATGTCATCTGTATTTCTTTACTATCTATCTATCTATCTATCTATCATCTATCTATCTATCTATCTATCTATCCATCTTAGTATCTATCTATCTATCTATCTATCTATCTATCTATCTATCTATCTATCTATCTATCCATCTTAGTATCTATCTATCTATCTATCTATCTATCTATCTATCTATCTATCTATCTATCTATCTATATCTATCTATCTATCTATCTATCCATCTTATCTATCTATCTATCTATCTATCTATCTATCTATCTATCTATCTATCTATCTATCTATCTATCTATCCATCTTAGTATCTATCTATCTATCTATCTATCTATCTATCTATCTATCTATCTATCTATCTATCTTAGTATCTATCTATCTATCTATCTTAGTATCTATCTATCTATCTATCTTATATCTATCTATCTATCTATCTATCTATCTATCTATCTATCTATCTATCTATCTATCTATCTATCTACCTATCTATCTATCCTATCTATCTATCTATCTATCTATCTATCTATCTATCTATCTATCCCCTATTATCCCCCCCTATTATCTGTATCTCTCTCAACTAATCTACCTGTCTGTCTATCCTTTCTCTTTCCATCAGCAATTACTCTCTTGCCAGATTCTGACCCTCCGATCTGCACGGCACCACAGAAATGAAGATTCATAGAACCAATCAGTGGTTTTACAGTCTACATATGTCCCCAGTTGGTGAAATGGTAACACTGTAGCCTCATATTCCTGCTCTTAGCTGATAGGAGTGGGCTCAGCCTGGTTCTTTAATGCCATAGCCCCATCTTTATACAGTTGTGCTCAAAAGTTTGCACACCCTGGCAGAAATTGTAAAATTTTGGCATTGATATTGAAAATATTACTGACCATGCCAAAAAATGCTCTTTCTTGGTCTACCTGACCTTGGCTTGGTATCAAGAGATCCCCGAACTTTCCACTTCTTAATAGGATATTTAACAGTACTGATTGACATATTCAAGGCTTTGGACATCTTTTTATGTCCTTTTCCATCTTTATAAAGTTCCATTACCTTGTTACGCAGGACTTTTGATAGTTCTTTTCTGATCCCCATGGCTCAGTATCTAGCCTAGTCAGTGCTTCCATGTAAGAGCTAACAAACTCATTGACTATTTATACACTGACACTAATTGCAATTTAAAAAGCCACAGATGTGGGACATTAACCTCTAATTGGCATTGTAACCCGTGTGTGCCACCTTGTGTGTCTGTACCAAGGCCAAACATTCCAGGGGCGGAGACTTCTGATCCGGGCCATTTGGGTGATTTCGATTGTTATGATTTAAAAAGGAGCCAAACAACTATTTGATAATAAATGGCTTCATATGATCATCATCCTTCAATAAAAGAGCATTTTTTGGCATGATCAGTCATATTTTCAATATCAATGCCAAAATTTCACAATTTCTGCCAGAGTGTGCAAACTTTTGAGCACAATTGTATGCAAAAGCAAAGTCCGGAGTTTGCTGCACTCAGTTTCTTTATTATTGAAATATAAAATACATTACAGAGACCAGAGGGACAGTAAATGGTAACGCATTTCACACTATGGACAGTGCTTGCTCAAGTGCTTTGAATAAGTTTTGAGTAAGCGCTGTCCTTAGTGTGAAACTCATTTACTGTCCCCATGGTGTCTGATATATTTTATATTACAATAGGAGTGCAGTGATGCAGTGAATTCCAGACTTTTCTTTTGCACGTAGTCACGGATGGGCTGTGTGGGCCCCCCTCATGCTACAAGGAAGTTTGACAGTTCACCTGGAGTGGCACATAAGGCTGGCCATACATTATACAATTATCTGCAGATTTTCTGCCCAATTTCCTTTAGATTTACCTTCAACTGTGTAGTGCAAGGGCCTGCCTAATTGGATACAACTGAAAGTGTTGTTTAGGTTTGTCCTCCTATTATATGGTTTTTGGTAAATCTAAACCAAAAATCTGCAGATAATTGTATAATGTATGGCCAGCCTAACTCTCTGTTTTTACGTCATCTTTGTACCCTCTCCGGCCACTTTATTAGGTACACCTTGCTAGTCCCGGGTTGGACCCCCTTTTGCCTTCAGAACGGCCTTAATTCTTCGTGGCATAGATTCAACAAGGTGTTGGAAACATTCTTCAGAGATTTTGGTGCATATTGATGAGAGTTACTGTTGTATTTCTATCATCTTGTACCAGTCTGTCCATTCATGTCTTCTGACATCAACAAGGCATTTTCATCCACACAACTGCCGCTCACTGGACCTGTGAGAGGTCAGAGACATGCACCCATGCACATGTATGTCAGATTGGGAGCAGCAGCCGTGTCCGTGCAGCTTCGGTGTCCCACATGACATGAATGAAGACTGCCTGTACAGGGATGCACAAAACACCTGTGTATCCCTGTGTGGATAAACATGGCCTTGCACAGGCCTACTCATTGGCAGGCCCCATGTGAACCAGACCCTGCTACACTTTACACGTTGTTCCATAGAAGGGTAATGAGCAATGATTAAAAACCCTGTTGTGTCTTTTTTAGTATCTGTATTCCTGTTGGGGAGATTCACTCTCTCTATTTGTCCTGGTAACCAAACATATCCAAACTGTTGCAATTGTCATCAGAATAAATGAGAGTGTGATGTGAAAATAAATCTTGGACAAAAGATTCCTGATTTGGTGGCAACTGTCTCATTTTAAAGAAATTTCCAGTCACTTCCTGTTGCGTCTGTGGTATAGGAAGTGAAGAGAAATATCTCTACTGGAACACAAACCGCAAAAAAACAGAAAACCTAACAGGGGTACAAACCATTCCCTATTCTATCAAAAACAAAACAAAGTTTAGCTTTAGAATCACTTTAAATAAACCCAGAAGTGTTGTTGGATATGTGACACGTTTTGAATTTCTGCAGTATTTTTCCTCCAATTTTCTGTTCTCCTCTCATATGTTTTGCTGGAAATCTCGCCTCTGTACCGCACGTCCCTGGTCGCTTACACGGCGACATATATCCTATGAGGAGAGGATATTAAAACTCATAGACACCCCTTTTGGCTTGATATAAAGACCTTTTTACCAGCTCCCACAGAGTCGTCCATTTAAGGCGTCAATTAAACCGTCTCTTTGACCTGACGTGATTTATTAGCGCTGGTGATATACGAACACGCGTTCCCGCTGCAAAAACATCTCGCCTAACCCACAAAGGAGTCACGGTGAAACGCTAGATTCAATCTGGAGAAGAAAAAAAAATAGCCCTATTAATTGCCGGAGACTTTACACACCGGGATGACTGAACACCGCTCCTAATAGGCCGAGGTAGGCCCGAGCCGAGACCTGCGAGAAGGTTTTATGGCTTTTAATGAATTTATGTTTCTCAACCAGCCTCCTCACTTTGATTTACAATTAGGAGGGAAACCCTGCAAAGAGGTCTCCAGATAAAAAGCCAATAATATATATTAAATGCACGTATGGAATAATAAAACTCATGTTTCGGCTTATTCCCCACCCTTGCTGGCCTTGTCAGGTCGTTAATTTTGACAGAAAACACAGTTCCTGTTTTTCCCTCCAAAAATCTCTCAGCTGTTCACCCAGGGACAGCTGTTGCCCTCTGGAACTAATTACAGCTGTCTGTGAGATTTAGGCCCCCTCCCTCCTACAACTCAGATATTGCTTCTAATTTTTAACGCGTACAGTTGGAAGATGTCATAACACCAGGCCGCTTTTTAGAGAGCCATGAAAGCAATCGCTGCTCACAGCTGCTACTGGGCAACAATGGCGTATGCTGCATTAACCGCTTCTCTGCGAGATGCGAATGAAAAAGCGCATTTTACTTTTATTTTGTGCACCTGACTGGGAAGTTGTCATAAAAATGTATTTCATGACTCCACTCCTCTCAGTATTAGTATGTATGTGACTAATATATGGGTGTGTGTGTGTATATATATATATATATATATATATATATATATCACACACACATACAGTACATTATAATTTGTATCTCTTTTCTGTACATGTGCATTATAAATGTGTTTTTGTGTGTATGTATATATATATATATATATATATATAATTTTTTTTTCTTCACCACACACATACAGTACATTATAATTTGTATCTCTTTTCTGTACATGTGCATTAAAAATGTGTTTTTGTGTATATATATATATATATATATATAAAAAATGTCTTCATCGTTATTATGATTTTTTATATATAATCTACCCAATGTTATGCCTCATTTAAAGTCGCATTGGTATTTTATTTGGTTTATATAAAATAGTTGGTGTGATCACCCTTTGCCTTCAAAACAGTATCAATTCTTCTAGGTACACTTGCACATAGGTGTTTCAGTTTTTGAAGGAACTCAGCAGGTAGATTGTTCCAAACATCTTGGAGAACTAACCACACATTTTCCTTGGATGTAGCCTGCCTGATATCCTTGTGTCTTCATGTAATCCCAGACAGACTCCATGATGTTGAGCTCAGGACTCTTTCGGGTCCAAACCATCACTTCCAGGACTCCTTATTTTTCTTTACACTGAAGTTAGTTCTAAATGACATTGGCTGTATGTTTGGGGTCGTTGTCCTGCTGCAGAATACATTTGACGCGAAATACACGCCTCCCTGATGATATGGTATGATGGATATGTATCTGCCTGTATTTTTCAGCATTGAGGACACCATTGATCCTGACCAAATCTCCAACTTCATTTGCAAAATTGCAGCCCCAAACTTGCAAGGAATCTTCACCATGCTTCACTGTTGCCGGTAGACACTCATTATTGTACCGCTATTCAGCCCTTCGTCGAACAAACTGACTCCTGCTACAGCCAATTATTTCAAATTTTGACTCCTCAGTCCAGAGCACCTGCTGCCAGTTTTCTCCGACCCCGGTTCCTATGTTTTTGTGCACAGGTGAGTCGTATAGCTTTGTTTCCACGTCGAAGATATGGCTTATTGGCCACAATTCTTCCATGTAGACCACTTCTGGCCAGTCTTCTCTGGACCGTAGATGGGTGTACCTGGGTCCCACTAGTTTCTGACAGTTCTGTGCTGATGGAACTGCTGGATATCTTTTGATGTTGAATACAAGTAAACATGATGTGTCTTTCATCTGCTGCATTAAATTTCCTTGGCCAACCACTTTAAAAGAGCTTGATCAATTGAAATGATACTGGTTTGAAGCCAAAAGGTTGTGTGTATACCTAGATAGATAGATAGATAGATAGATATGAATAGATAGATAGATAGATATGAATAGATAGATAGATATGAATAGATAGATATGAATAGATAGATAGATAGATATGAATAGATAGATATGAATAGATATAGATAGATAGATAGATAGATAGATAGATAGATAGATAGATAAAAATCATTATAAAAGTAATTACACAAAAAAAATACTATATATATATATATATATATATATATATATATATCCTAAAGTTTCTGAATTAACTCTTTCATATTTCTAGCAAGCTTTTGGATGAAAACAGGGATTCTTTGATTGCATGTTTGCATATATTGCTATACATGTTCAAGCTGCCCGACAGTGTCAAAGTAATTCTGCTGGGCCAGTCCTTACTCTACACACAGCTTACCCATAAAAAGTCTTGAAGGTTAAAACCCTTTTCGTTTTTCTTAAAGACAAGTTTTTCTTTCCCAAAAGGTGGGAATACACGATTAGAAAATCAACCGATCGGTCATCCGATGGCCGAGAGGCGTTCGTTCGTTGGTCGAAATCGTGGCCCGCATTAACCAATCTAAAAAAATTGTTTGTCGGGCAATACGTAGTGTTGACGTCTTCCATACAAGTGGAAGTGATGCGGTGTGCGTGTGACCTTGTAGCCACGCCCTTCCGGCCAGAACGAGCGATATACACAACAATGACCAGCGATGAGTATAATATCGTTTATTACATGACCTATATACATAAATAGTGATACATAAAATATAATCTGCACAATTCTGGGTTCATGATCTCATTAGGCCAGGGGTGGGCAACTGTGGCCCTCCAGCTGTTGTAGAACTACAAGTCCCATGAGGCATTGCAACTGACAGTTGACACAAGCATGACTCCCAAAAGCAGAGGCATAATGGGACTTGTAGTTCACCAACAGCTGGAGGACCACAGTTGCCCAACCCTGCATTAGGCCAATCTACTTTTAACATTTGGATTTTTCGTTCGTGTTTACAAAGATTCCTTGGACATAAACATCCGAGTCATCTTCTGTTTCCGCTCATGCGTGATAGCGTTTGATAGATTTTTTTCGTACGACCGTCTTACCACCGCATAGAAAATCGGTCGTTCGTATGCGAAACGACAACATTTTTCACTGTTCAAGCAGATTTTTTAATTCACAATATCGCTATCGGTTAAAACATCAACGAAGAGAAAATCATTCGATCAGTGGTTCTGCAAAATTTACACTGCATTGCAGATGTGTTTGTGATCATTTTAGATATAAACCTGTTGTGATTTCTCTCTCCCCCCTGCAGATGGATCCGGGGAGAACATTACCGGTACAAGTTCAGCCGTATATGGGGCACACACGCCTCCGAGGGCAAGTGGTGGATTCGGAAAAGGATTGCACAATATTTCCCGCCACTGAATCTGGCGGGCCTGGAGAAATATTTCAAGTCACGCTCTTGGCCCCTGCCTTCTCCATCCTGATGTTGTCTATATTATCACTAGGGATTGTTTTTCACTTTTCAGGTGATATGTGTAATTTTTATACTTTTTTTTATAGAGCTGAATCTGGTACTTCCTAGCCAACTCTGGCATTTTGTATCTCTATGCTACAATTAGCATTACTACTGCTGTCTTGAACTATACTTGACACAACAAGGTTGGTTTATTAAGGACATTATCATTCGGCAGTCAATAAATGGTGTTCGATTATCCAATCATGCAAATTCATGTTCAATTTAAATACCCAACCACGTGCATGATATAAGTAAACAGGAAATTATTTTTCACGTCATTGGACAATTAACGTGAAAAATAATTTATTGAGTAAAGATCATCAACTCCTTTAGTAAACAAACCCTCATATATCAGCCATTTTGCACTCTGAACCATTAAACAACCTGTGAATTGCTCTACTGGAGACCGGCAGGAATACCGCAAGTCTCAAGAATAAAAGTGTCCCTGAGAGGAACAAGTCTTGCTGCCCCTCATCGGAAAAGGAAAATGTGAACACTGGTAATGCTAGGCATTGTATTAAAGCTGAACTCCAAGCAAACTGCTGAATACACAAATTAAATATGTTTTACCTGTCTGCATATTTTATGGTTGTGTTCAGCCATGTTTGTGATTCCCACTGCCCTCCTTCTACACTGTACATCCAGGGGAGTGACACTACAGAACCTGTGCTGTCTAAACAAGAGTGATCTTATACCTCACAAAGCTTCCCAGGAACCCCAGAGACTCAGGCAGCTCCAATATGTCGTCCCCAAAACTGGCCCCCACCTTTCACATCTTAATATTGGTCACTGAGGCTGTCCATCATAATGGTGGACCAACAGAGAGGGGAGGATGAGAGGGGCGCTGTGTGAGATATGTCACCTTAAGAGCAGCCATATTTAGATGCCTGCTATACATGTGCTTGAAGGTTGGGGGATTTTAAAGGGTATTTCCACTTTTGCAGTTACATTTGAGAAAACACCACTATATGTTCATTATGTGTCGTTTGTTACCTTTAAATACCTTTCTGGTCTCAGGGAACTCCTGGCGAAAAATACTACATGATACATTAGCGTGATGGTCAGTGGGAAGAATGCTCCTTACACTTGTGGTCAGTGAGAAGAATGCTCCTTACATTTGTGGTCATTGGGAAGAATGCTCCTTACATTTGTGGTCAGTATGTCCCTTACATTGGAGATCAGTGGGAAGAGTGCTCCTTACATTGGAGATCAGTGGGAAGAATGCTCCTTACATTGGAGATCAGTGGGAAGAATGTCCCTTACATTGGAGATCAGTGGGAAGAATGTTCCTTACAATCGAGGTCAGTGGGAATAGTGCTCCTTACATTGGTGGTCAGTGGGAAGAATGCTCCTTACATTGGAGATCAGTGGGAAGAATGCTCCTTACATTGGTGGTCAGTGGGAAGAATGCTCCTTACGTTGGTGGTCAGTGGGAAGAATGCTCCTTACGTTGGTGGTCAGTGGGAAGAATGCTCCTTACGTTGGTGGTCAGTGGGAAGAATGCTCCTTACATTGGAGATCAGTGGGAAGAATGCTCCTTACATTGGTGGTCAGTGAGAAGAATGCTCCTTACATTGGTGGTCAGTGGGAAGAATGCTCCTTACATTGGTGGTCAGTGGGAAGAATGCTCCTTACATTGGTGATAAGTGGGAAGAATGCTCCTTACGTTGGTGGTCAGTGGGAAGAATGTTCCTTACATTGGTGATCAGTGGGAAGAATACCCCTTACATTGGTGGTCAGTGGGAAGAATGTTCCTTACATTGGTGGTCAGTGGGAAGAATGCTCCTTACATTGGGGTCAGTGGGAAGAATGCTCCTTACATTGGTGATCAGTGGGAAGAATGCTCCTTACATTGGGGTCAGTGGGAGGAATGCTCCTTACATTGGGGTCAGTGGGAAGAATGCTCCTTACATTGGGGTCAGTGGGAAGAATGCTCCTTACATTTGTGGTGATTGAGAAGAATTGCCTCCTTACAGATAGCTAAAAAGATCAATGGTGTCAGTGGGAAATTATCTGAGAGGCAGAAATAGCTCATTGCTCAAGGAACCCCTAACAACCTCTGAAGGAACCCAGTTCTATGGAACCGTGGTTGAGAAGCCCTGCTCCAACCTTTAGGACAGATAATGTTCAAATCTAGTTACAAGTGATAATGAAGATCTGCCTGCACAGTACAGATGGGGTAAAGTGGTTGTAAACCTCAGACAAGAAATATGAACAAATCATATCCCTCTATGGTGTGTACTTGTCTCAATCCAGTGCACTAAGTGTCATTTCTGTCTGCTGCCTCATTCCTCTGCTATCGTGTGTGTGTGCGTGCGTGCGTGCCTGCGTGTGTGTGTCTCTTCCCTCCCTTCCAATCAGCTCTCAGAGCTCCCCTTACTAATGTTACTTCAGGTCTCCACCCCCTGATTTTCATAGCTGAGAGACCCTGTGTACATTCTGCACTTTGAAGTGATGTAGGAGACAGAAGCCTGTAGATAAACAGGTGCAACTTATGTAAGAGGATTGGTTTCGTATCACCTGAGGTCAGTCATTTCACTGGGTATATGTAAGGGTTTACAACCACTTTAGTTATGGCAGAGACAGCTGCCCAGCCCCCTCACAAACAAAGAGAACTAAGTAGCATTTTCTCTGCTGGAGGATCCAGAATGGATTATCTGAAAAAGATAAGCTGTACCTTTTAGGTAGTGAATGGGGACATGTAACAAATATGAAGTAGGTGTTATCCCAATGTGGCTGCAAAAGTGAAAATAACTTTAAAGGAATACAGTGTTGTCAACCCTTTCCTCCCAGCCTGCTGACTGGACAGCGAAGGATCAGCAGCATACTGATGAGGTCATCTCTCTCTCTCCATGTTCACAGCAAAGGTGCCCCCTGTGCTCCTTCATCCAGAGTGGGGGGACTCTAATACAGGAGGTGTGTTACTGACAGGGGCGGACTGACCATTTGGAAACTTGGGCACTGCCCGAGGGCCCGGGGACAGTAGGGGGCCCCATGAGATGCCCCTGGTACCTTTTTCATAGGCTTTTTTGAGTTTGGGCAAGGACACAGGGGCCCCATGATCCCCTATTGCCCGGGGGCCCCATGAGTTGTCAGTCTGCCCCTGGTTACTGACCAGATCACCAGGTAAAAACTGAGGTGGGAAAAGACTAAAAAAATAAAGTAATGCAGGCACCACATCTAATGATTGGTAAAATGCAATATATTACATTTTTGGTTTGGGGTTTAATAACGCTTTAAGTCTATGAATGATTTTTATTGTATATTCACATTGTTCCAGCTTGGACCATTGCATGTATGCATAAATTCATCTTGGGGTTGCTGCAAATCACTGTAGTAGTCAGTGCTACTACAGCAATAGCTGCAATATCCCGGGTCCAGTGCCGAACCGTTGCCCTTTTGTGTAGTAACCATATGGGTTCACTCGCCCAGTCACAGACCACCTTGTATTACATTCAGTGATTACAAGCTGCTCTCTGACTGAATGAGGTGGAGAGGTGGGGCGGTGACATCACAATCTCCACCTCTTCCAATCAGAGAACTCCTTGTATTCACTGGAAAAAAAATACAAGGCATTCTTTGAATGGTGACTACTACAGTGATTTGTAGCTTCCACAAAGATCATGAAGGTCTGAGTTCTGCATACTTACATTGTGCCAAGCTGGACCAAAATAACCGTGCAATAAAAATCATACCTGGACTTCAGCTGTGAACTGAATGCGTGGAATATTATGTTATTGTTTTATTGTTTGTTTTTTTATTGCTGCACATTTGTTTGTCTGGAAAAAATTAAAAATCGATTGAGCATGTCTAAATATTGAGAACATGTGTGGGCAATTGAAAAAAGACAAATTAAAAAAAACTATAATCCAATCACACATCTTGAAAGAATTGTAATAAAGTGAAATGAATACTGACTTCCATGAAAGAGTGACATACAAGTCCACCCGCCGACACCCAACTACAAGCGCACCGGAGGTTCCCTAGCCTCGTCCTATTTTGGATCGCATCGTTTGAGGTCTAAATACAAATATTAAATGCTATACCATATGTCCTCAAAAACTATGTGCAGTCCAAACCCTATAAGTCCAATCTTTAAATCAAATTCTTCTCATGTTCAAAGAACCTTTCAAAAAATTCCTCCGATAATGTACCTCAAAAAGAAAAAATATTCACATATTTGCCTTATCCTTTTTTATAACTAAATAAATAATAGTGACTTCATACAAGTGAATACCCAATCACATAAATAATCCGTGAAAAAGGTGAACAAATTGAAAAAAAACTGTGAAGCCAAAAACAATAAAAACCCTTGTGAATGTGAATCATGTACCCTTAATCATATACCCTTATGAGTAAGTCGATGACGAAACGCGTCAAGGGGAAGTGACGTCAACGCGCACGCGGAAACCGGAAGTTGACCAGCGGCCATTTTGGATGAGGGAAACGATCATCTGATTTCCCCTGGGCAATTCCTGGATAACAGTAAACTACTTCTGAGTACTTTTAAGCGTTTTTTAAACTGATGAAATGTGAGCATTCTAATTAAAGTTGATTATAAGATTGATTCTGGCGGTATTACACTATTGTGTTTCCTATATATTTATATTTATATGATACATGCCTGATGTGGATATATGGAGTCTCAAGGCTGTTGGATCCTGATGCTAATATGAAGGCAGACTATATTGGGTAAAGATCAATAGGAGGACTGTCTCCCACCTTCCTTTTGGAAAGATATAAAAAAGCGTCTATTTTTCTGAATATTGGTAAGGGTATGCATTCCTTACTGCACTTAGAAGTGTCACAGTGCTGGTTGGAATAGAGCACTGAAGAGTGATTCACAGTCACAAGGGTTTTTATCCAAAGGAATAAGAAGAGTCGGCTGCAGTTATGCAAAAGAACATGTGGACATACCACAAAAGTTGTGGGTTAGTGTTCTGTGGACTGATGAAACAAAATGTAGAAACTGTGTTTTTGGCTTCACAGTTTTTTTTTCACTTTGTTCACCTTTTTCAATTATTTATGTGATTGGGTATTCACTTGTATGAAGTCACTATTATTTATTTAGTTATAAAAAAGGATAATGCATTATGTGAATATTTTTTCTTTTTGAGGTACATTATTGTAGGAATTTTTTGAAAGGTTCTTTGAACACGAGAAGAATTTGATTTAAAGATTGGAATTATAGGGTTTGGACTGCACATACAGTGGGGATCGAAAGTTTGGGCACCCCAGCTAAAAATTTGTATTAATGTGCATAAAGAAGCCAAGGAAAGATGGAAAAATCTCCAAAAGGCATCAAATTACAGATTAGACATTCTAATAATGTCAACAAAAGTTAGATTTTATTTCCATCATTTACACTTTCAAAATAACAGAAAACAAAAAAATGGCGTCTGCAAAAGTTTGGGCACCCTGCAGAATTTATAGCATGCACTGCCCCCTTTGCCAAGCTGAGACCTGCCAGTGTCATGGATTGTTCTCAATCATCGTCTGGGAAGACCAGGTGATGTCAATCTCAAAGGTTTTAAATGCCCAGACTCATCTGACCTTGCCCCAACAATCAGCACCATGGGTTCTTCTAAGCAGTTGTCTAGAAAAATGAAACTGAAAATAGTTGACGCTCACAAAGCTGGAGAAGGCTATAAGAAGATAGCAAAGCATTTTCAGATGTCAATATCCTCTGTTTGGAATGTAATTAAGAAATGGCAGTCATCAGGAACAGTGGAAGTTAAAGCAAGATCTGGAAGACCAAGAAAAATATCAGACAGAACAGCTCGCAGGATTGTGAGAAAAATAATTCTAAACCCACGTTTGACTGCAAGATCCCTCCAGAAAGATCTGGCAGACACTGGAGTTGTGGTACACTATTCCACTATAAAGAGATACTTGTACAAATATGGTCTTCATGGAAGAGTCATCAGAAGAAAACCTCTTCTACGTCCTCACCACAAAAAATCATCGTTTGAACTTTGCAAATGAACATATAGACAAGCCTGATGCATTTTGGAAACAAGTTCTGTGGACCGATGAGGTTAAAATTGAACTTTTTGGCTGGAATGAGCAAAGGTACGTTTGGAGAAGAAGGGGCACAGAATTTAATGAAAAGAACCTCTGTCCAACTGTTAAGCATGGGGTTGGATCAATCATGCTTTGGGGTTGAGTTGCAGCCAGTGGCACAGGGAAAAACGGATTCAATAAAATTTCAGCAAATTTTGGATGGTAACTTGATGCCATCTGTGAAAAAGCTGAAGTTAAAGAGAGGTTGGCTTCTACAAATGGATAATGATCCTAAACACACCTCGAAATCCACGGGGGATTACATCAAGAGGAGTAAACTGAAGGTTTTGCCATGGCCTTCACAATCTCCTGACCTCAACATAATTGAAAATCTATGGATAGACCTTAAAAGAGCCGTGCGTGACAGACAGCCCAGAAATCTCAAAGAACTGGAAGACTTTTGTAAGGAAGAATGGGCAAAGATACCTCAAACAAGAATTGAAAGACTCTTGGCTGGCTACAACAAGCGTTTACAAGCTGTGATACTTGCCAAAGGGGGCAGTACAAGATATTAACTCTGCAGGGTGCGCAAACTTTTGCAGACGCCATTTTTTTGTTTTCTGTTATTTTGAAAGTGTAAATGATGGA